TGATGAATTTAATTAAATAATATGGAATAAAAATCCGTTTTTTGTGTCAAAGGTTTATTGAAAAATTCTATATGTTAGTAGGTAGGCACCTACCTATATTTAGGATGGAAATAGTAATAGAATTTGAATAGTTCTTTAGATAAGTTTTTTGTTTTGTTTCTTGATTCTGCAAAATGAATTGGAAACAATCTGTCTTTTTTAGCTCATATTAACTTTAAATGATAATTTTGTTAGCTATGTTGTGAAAATTTTCACTTCAGATTTTATTGTAAGGTACCATCGCAGATGTACACTACAATGTAAAATATATATTATTGTACTCCTTCTGTCGCTTCCTTAAGGTACCATTTCGGTAGGCGCGTAAGGAGACAAGAGACCACCGAGACGACCCTATGGACGACAGATGCATAAATGTTACGCTCCGTACATTTCGGAAGCTTGGAGAAGTGTCGCGCGACACTTGCAAATAACCATTCGAGGGAACGATCAGCGTTGCCAGACCTACTGTTTTTACGTAGATCCACTGTTTTTGTCTCTAGCAAATTTTGTTCTTAATTTATTAAGTTTGCCTCATTCTTCAGCAAATGGTTAAAGAATATTTTCTGCAATAAAAGCAGTATAATAAGGCATTCACTACTGTAGGTTGGCTCCATAAAAAAAAAACATCAAGATAATCATTGTTTTTATTTAAAATGAAACAAAGAATTAATAGGGCAACATAAAAAGAACATGCATATGTCAAACACTACGATTTTGAATTACCTGATTTAACTGATCTGATAGGTACCTATTATTTTTCATTGTTTTTTTTTTTGTTTCCGTACGTTAAGTATATATTAAAAATGTTATTATTTATTTTTATTCTTTGTTTACCTTCTAATTTGGGTCGAAAAAAAGTTTATTTTTCGTTTCTTATATACTTGTTTTTTATTTACTACACTGCAAATTTTAGTTATTTCCCCCTGTATTAAAATCTACTGTTCAGATCTACGGTTTTTTTTTCATCCATACTGTTCCAAAATCTGGCAACACTGCCTAGATCGAAAGAAATTTTCAACCTTATCACCTTCAAAATGAAGCGATGCTCGAGGACAGTGACCCCGAGTGCGACACGCAACAAACCTTTGCCCCGAGACAGATTCAGAAGTGTCGTCAGGAAGTGTCGTCTTGACGACACTTCTCGTGTCGCGCCGTGCGAAATGTGTTTCATATAATTGTATGTATTTTAGATGTGAAGCGACACTTCTCGGTCGCGTCGGCGGTCGTCTGTCGCGCCTACCGAAATGGTACCTTTAAGGCGACAAGAAATAGTCTAGATGACTAATATAAGGGGTAATAGAAATTCACTTTACAAAAATAAACTTTATTAATCAATAATGGTTGAACTGTTGAACAGCTAATCATGAATCAATCAATGCCGGTGTATATTGTTATAAACGAAGGGGGTATAAATATTAATTAAAATTAAAAATCCAAACATGAGTAAATACCACTATAATCGTATAAATATTGAATACAAAAACACAAGTAATGACGTAACGAGTAGTCAGTAAATCTGCGCAGAGAGATCGACCACGTTGATTGTACTTTTCAGAATGCTCCTGTGAAAACCCCAACATGATGCCGACGAAAAGCCCGGGTATTCACGCCTCGTCATCAATACCTGCTTATCTCCCTGACCAGAGGCGACTCTAGGTAATATTGCTAACAATATTTTCCTTTCTTCATTGTTAAAACTGCGTCTGTCCACTCATTGAAATATTAGAATATGTTGTGTCAGCGAAAGACGCACCGCATATATTTATGTAGATTAGATTAGATTAGGAGTTGGACGTTATTTGTCCTTATCCACCGCGGCCTTTTCAGATCTATTGTGGGACTCCGTTTGCTTTAGAGTATGTCGTCTAGCCTGGTCTTTTTTATTAGACTTAGTAGCTTTGACAGTGACTCCCGCATGTAGTTCCATGCAATTGGCTTTTCTTCGCCCAATGTTAGAAACCTCATTCCATCCAGGCCTTCACATTGGCACATGACGTGGAATGATGTTTCCTCTTCTTCTTTACAGAACCTGCACAAAGTTGCTTCTTCTGCTGGATTTATGACACTCGTGTCCAGTAAGAAGGCCTACTGTTATCTATATATATTTATGTAATAAATACTGGAAGCTAACAATAACGATTTTTCCAAAGTAAGTTTAGAATTTAGAGTGTGTTCAAACTAGTGTTGCCAGACATTACGCTTTTGGCGTATTTGCCACGCTTTTTAACTTGCTTATACGCGCAACGCCACAGTACGAAAATGCCACGCTTTTTATGCAAATGCCACTCTTATTATGCAAATGCCACGCTTTTAACCGGATTTATACAGAAATAGAGAAATCTCTCGTTTTTACGAAAAATATAAGCTGAGGACTTTTTTTTAGTTTCACAAAAAATATAAAAATGCTTGGTATTTGAACCTAATGCTCTGTCGTCACGGTTGTCACGCTTTCCACTTTCGGAAATTTGGCAACCCAAGTAGGGTTGCCAGACGTCACGCTTTTGGCGTATTTTCCACGATTTTTGACTTGGTTGTACGCTCAACGCCACATTACGAAAATGTCCCGTTTTTGACCAAAATGCCACTCTTTTTATGCAAATGCCACGCTTTTAATATTCAAAGTCGTAAATAAAAAGGAGGAACTGGATTTATAGAAAAATATAAGGTGAATACCTTTTTTTTAAGAAATTTCACAATTAAATCTGGCAACCCTAGTTACCAGACGTCAGGAAAAGTCCGGACATATCCGGAATTTTGGCGTTTTGTCCGGAATGCGCCGGGAATTATAAATTGTCCGGAATTTTCAGGAAAATCGTCAAACGTATACTTAAATCTCATATAAAAAGTTCGGTATGTATTTTTTTAAATAAAACTTTTAGTAATTATTTCATGGGTTGGAGGTTTTATTTTTTTGTCCGGATTTTTAAAGAAATGTCCGGAATTTTAATTACAAATGCCAGGAAATTGTATTTTTGGATATGGTAACCCTAATTGAGTCGGAAGTGCCCTGTGTAAGGATCCCCTCTGTACAAAACTGTATACTTCCTCATCTTTTCCTGCAGCATATCCCATCCCCGGTATTTTGGCAACTGAAATGATAGAGTTATGTTTGATTAACTTTGTTCCTGATCATTCTATATCTTGTCCTTGTTGTCTCGTTCTCTGTTCTCTACAATTAAAAATACATGTTTGAGTAGGGTTGGTGATAACCGTGACGACAGAGCATTAGGTTCAAATACCAAGCATTTTTTTATAATCAGATCCATTTTTGTGAACATTTCTAAAAAGAAGGTCCTCAGCTTATTTTTCGTAAAAACGAGGGTCTTTTACCCGGACATTTGTCTATTTTTGTATAAATCCGGTTTCTCTGCGTAGCATTTACATAAAAAGAGTGGCATTTTTTTTGAAAAGTCGTGGCATTTTCGTACTGTGGCGTTGCGCGTACAAGCAAATACGCCAAAATCGTGACGTCTGGCAACACTAAAAATAATGGGCTTTTGAATCCTTATCTGTTACTTCATCCTCATGTTTATTGCAGATGAAATTTATTGTCCAGGGTTAGGCCAACATACTTGACCTGTTTTTACCAGTCTATATCCCGGTTGCAATTAAAACCATAGACATCATATTATCCCATATCTTTGATTAAAACGCTTGTTAACACTAAATAGCTAATGATTCAATGACTAAGACTGTCAGTAAATTGAAGTCAATGTCATTCGGACAGATCACATTCTCAAGTTCTAACAAGGTTTATCTGGACCATAAATTTTAATGACGACTGTAGGTCTATCCCGTCTCTATTTTGACGGTATTGAGATTGAGTTCTCTTTTCTTTGAATTATTAGAAGTGATGCTTTGTGGGGATTACTAAGTATCACCTCTCGGCACCATTATCTGGTATGTTCTATTTTCTAGTCATCTTTGAACTAGGCATATCATAGGGTTGCCAGAAGTCACGCTTTTGGAGCATTTACCACGCTTTTTGACTTGCTTGTACGCGCAACGCCACAGTACGAAAATGCCACGCTTTTGACAAAAATGCCACTCTTTTTATGCAAATGCCACGCTTTTTAATTTAAAGCCGCAGAGGAACCGGATTTATTCAAAAATAGACAAATCTCCGGGTAAAAGAACCATCGTTTTTACGAAAAATAAGCTGAGGACCTTTTTTATTTAGAAATTTCACAAAAAATGGACCTGATTATATAAAAATGCTTGGTATTTGAATCTAATGCTCTGTCGTCACGTTTTTCATTTTCGGAAATCTGGCAATATCAATAAAGGATATTTTCGGTATAACCTTGGCAGAGTATGCGTTAGATACCGACTGAAGACTCAATAGTTAATACAAATGGGTATGCGTTAGAAACCGGTTGAAGACTCAATAGTTAATACAAATGGGTAGTGTCATTAAAAATAAAAAAATAATTTTTAGATACATAATCTTCAATAATACCCGTATATAACCCTCCTCCTGAATAAATTAATGTCATCAGTTAGCAAAAAGTAGCATTAATAACTTAGTGGTAAAACAATCTCACTGACCTATTTGACAACTGATATTTAAGTTGTCATAAAAGTTACTAATAACGACCATTTCCTTTAAATTTCTTTTTTCACTAGCAGTGGGATTCTCATCTTTCAATTCGGCATGTGTTGAGAAGTAGGTATCTATCTTCGTTCGACAGAATACAATTCGAATGTAATGTCTCTCTCTCTATTCAGCACATAACGTGTTGAGTTCGCACATAAGAATCCCAGTCTTATCAGCTGGTATATGGGACTTGTTACTTAAAAATTGCAGCAAATACTTAGTTTGAAGATTTAACAAAAAGGCTTATTTATTTCCCAATTCTAGCAAGAAACTTTATTAATTCCCGTGGTTGCAGCAGAAAAAGAAAGTTGGTTTTAACTATATATTTTTTTTAACTAACATTATTTTAAAACAATTATTAACACTGATCTTTTCTACCATTTTAATTAATAAATAGCTTTAATTCCTCTACGAGTTGACGCCACTGGTAATAACTGCCGGCCGGCATCTCTAGTTTTTTATCGGAATGTACACAAAAAGAATAAAGAATCCCGGCGAGCGTTGGTGCCTCTACGATGATTCACAGAATTCGAGTCACGGGGTGGGAGTCTCGTGACATCAAAACTTGGCATTGGCCAGCCATGATTGCACCTCCCTCCAATAGACGTAAATGCGAACCTTCTATGTGAGAGGAAAAGAGATCATGTGATATTTCTATCCCGCTTTTTATGCGGTGAGTGAACGCGAACGGTGCGCCATATTTATGTCGTCATTTTTAGAAACTTTCAGATCATTGAGCTATTCAGACGTGTACAGCTTAATTTTTACGTATTGTCTGAAGTGTTTTTGAAAAATCGATAATAGTTGTGTTTTTCGGTGATCTTTGAGATTCAGCTACTAATATTTGTTAAAAAAGTTGTTGGATCTTCAAGAGGTTTCAAAAGAGAGCCCACACGCATTGTTTTTTGAGTAAGACATTTTTCCATATTTCTTTAAAACAAAGTCGAAATATTTATAATATTGTATTATGTGATAATGTATTATGTGATTAGAAATATTTCTGTTGGAAATGCAGTAATAGAAAATTTGAGTATTGCGCAATATTTTGCAACACCATATGTGTTGATAAATTTTTGAGAATTGGACTTTGGAATTTTATTTTATTAACAATTATATAATTAAAAGTGAAGCGTTCTTTAATTACAAAGAATTTGTTGAAGAAATTGGCTATTTTCGAAGATTTTTATGCCACAAGACACTCCATAGATACAAGTGTCAAGGTTATGTTGTCTTGTTTTTTTTGCTCGATAGTAAACAGAGTTTTAAGTTATTTAACCAGTACCTACGACAAATCAGTTAATTGTATTATTTGCTGTAGGTATATTTTATAATTTTGTCCTTTTATTTTCTTCCCCTTATAGGAATTCCAGTCAAAGTTCGTCTTCTCCATCCAGTATGAGCACCACTTGAACAAAGAACAATTTGTTAAACCCAGATTTTATTTTTTCCATCTCTTATTATACTACCAAAATCTGGTGTTTTTTTGGAGGTGCCTGTTATACTTTCAGCAAAAAACATCTGTTTACACAGCTTGTGTCAGATTAAATGCTAAATCTCTATTTTTCTTCGCTATAGATACAAGTTGGTACCTGTACCTAGCCATCCTAAAACTATTCTATTTTCATTCTCCAACTATATAATTTATTATCTAACTATACATTTTCATAAACTTGTGTTACTGTCTGCGATTGCCTTTTCCTAGTTGTCAAAAGTTTTCTTGTGCTCTTAAATTCTCCTACTAAGTAGGTATTTCAAGAGTGTTACATTGTATTATTTGAAATGAATGCTCCCTGGTCTTTTTTAATCCTTCACAGGTACATACAATTTGTTTATCACACAAGATTGAACTTTAGTCTGTATCAGTTTATGGGGGCCTAATATAGGTATTTTTTTTTTTGTTAATTTCTAAATATAATTAATTGATTGTCTAATAACTAGGTATAAGGAGGCAAACCAGTGGCACAATTTGTCTTGCAAAATGGCGTTTCCGATAAAAATTGTAGAGAGTGTTTTACTTTATACCTAGTCTGTTTTTTGCATTTTTATATTATCTATTCAATTTTCTAGATAGGTATAATTATGTTACCATGATGGGTAGAAAAAAATCAACACCTATATAACCTTTATGTTCTTGGAACAGTCATAATGAGCTAAAGTTACATGCTTATTATATCCTTTTAGTTCATTGACCTTGAATCCCTATCCATATCATTAATAGTTTTGTTATTTGAATTCGAAAATGTATAATAATATTCAAAATTGCTTGCTTGTTCATTATGAGTACTGTACTTCACTTATCTAATCAGACAATATTAAAATTATAGTTTATGAACATAATGTATAAATGTAAATCAGTATGACCTAAAGCTGGCTTTTTATTAATGTGATATTTTTGTAAATTTTTTAAAAATTATCAAATTTTACAATTTTTTCAAATTTATAAATGTGCTGAAAAGTTTTTTATATAAAATAAATAACATTTTTATTCAAATAAACGCCTGATTACTAAAAATACCCCTACTCCGCAATGATTGAATCAAATTTAATATATCGTGAGGTTGTCAAATTTCTAATGACTGCTTTTATATTAATTCGATTAGTGGACAGTATTCTTTAATTTTAACACATGAAACTTCTATTATACATTATAATAACATATTAAAGAGCAAACCGAACACCTTGAAAATTTATAATTCCTTCTAAGCCTTAATTTTTAGTCCGATTTTTGTAAAATTTTCAGGAAATAACAATAATAACAAAACTGAGGCTGTAGAAATCTTAAATTTATTGTAAACCTTCGAAAAGTATTTATTTTAAAAATGTTTAAAAGGAATAAAAAAAACATTACACGCACTAGCTATTCTGTATTATATCTATGAAAATTTGCTGTATTTTGGGTTTTGTTCTAATAAGTATTTAGTAGTTTTTAAGAGGAAAATTTACATTACAAACTGAAAGACCTGCGGGGCAACGGTAGTTTAGTAGGTATAAAAATTACAACTTTAGGGTGGAGCCTAAATACTACAAAATTACTTCCGAGACTAAACAAAATCCGCATTCATTCATAATTTTAACAATTGCCTGTAGATACGAGGGATACGTATTTCAAACTCTAACGCGCGAAATTAAGAAAAAAGAACCGAAAACACCTAACACGGCTGCCGAGTGAGTCAGAGTTACCTAAATTAGGGGAACCAGAATCGTATTTGTTTTTCTCGGTGCATTGCGAGATATTGTTATAACGCAGTTCGATTTTTAGAGGGTTTTACATTATTTTTATATTTTAATTTAGTGAATAGGTTTAGTTAGATTAAATTACATTTAAGAGTATAGAGTTGTGAAATATAAATACAAATAACGAAAAAATAGACGATTGGTTCGAATAAGGTAATATCAATTAATACAGGGTATTTATTAATTGAGTGCCGATACTTAGAGGTGTGAATCCTTTGGGTGTTAAAGTTTTAAGAAAAAAAAACTATTTTATCATAAGTTTCTTATCACTCTAGATATTTTTATGAAATTTTGTCCAAAAAAAGTGTTTCCACTCATGGTGGGTTCCTACCAAATTTCAACAAAATATCAAAAGCAGTTTCAATATACTGGTTTTTATTTTCTTACCCGAAAAGGGTGCTTTGTACGAAAGTACGTCATAAACCAAATTTGCTCTAAAATAAATAAGGATTTTAAAGATAATTTGGTTTTTAGAAAAAGCAGTGGCGCACCATATTTTTGTTCAAAAATATTCAGTTCAAACCCGGTACGGACGTCACTGGTAAAAATTTAAAAGTCTTTTACGACAAAAGGTGAGATTGAAAGTGAAAGTTTAGTCTGTTATATATATATACTATATTTATATATCTAACTTTTATTATTACACTGAATGTGATATGGCTTTTTTGTTTGCCTTCTTTGGATCAACAAAATATTATTTTAATGATTTAAAATAAACTGCCAGTAATAATAATTATCTGTACTTAAACATATGCAAAGTGAAATCATAAAACGACGCATCAAGAAAGCACCAAATTATTAAACTTTTTATTTACGTAAGATGTATTAAAAGTAATTTTAAAAAACCGACTTTAAAATCGTGCAGATGCCATCACCACATCTGAACCAAATTTATATGGGACCACCCCTGAGGTACCCCCTTACTAACGAAAAGCATTATAGAAATCGGACAAGGTGGTAAAGAATTATCGCTAAACATACATAAAAAATGAAAAGTTTGAGGATTTTCCCATTGACCCAATTATTAGATTTTGACCAAATTTTTAAGGGACCATCCCGGAAGTACTCCCTTTCCAGCAAAAAAGAATCATTTAAATCGGACATTGTGTTAAAGAATTATCGCTGAACATACTTAAAAAAAATATATACAGACGAATTGAGAACCTCCTCCTTTTTGAAGTAGGTTAAAAAGGATATAATAATCTATATTATTTGTATTAACTAAAAAACTACTATGTGGAGTTATATACATCTTCTTAAATTAATCTTATATGTAAAAATGTGGGTTCGATTCCTAAAAGAGTACCTAGTTCACTGTGCAGCCAAATTTATATTTATGGTACAGAATTTTTTGAATAAATAAAGTTTAGGTTTAATTAAACACCAAGTTTTATCAGGAATAACATTTTCTGAAAAAAGTAACATAAAAAGCAGACTTTTTGCGAGCCACTATATATATTTTAGAGGACAATCCATATTATTTTAGAAAAATAAATAAAATTTTTGTATAAACACATAAATGTGATTTATCTTTTAGAATATTGTATATTTTTGTCAAAGTTTACTAATTTAAAAAAAAAGAAATATTCTTCAAAATTTTTCTTAAATTTTTTAACACGGTACAAAATACCTTAATCCGTTTATAGTTATCGAAATTAGTAAAGAATTTTAACTCGTTTAAAAAGCGTTCTTTCTCTTTCCATTTCCTAGAAAAACTAATAACTGTTTTATTGCCTTGAAAATGATATGATTTACATAAAAAACAAAAACTGACTTATTATTTTTGTGAAATAAAAATATGTTGTTATTTTCACAATTTTCGACTACTTTTTGTTTCCAAAAAAAGAAATACGATGTTCTTCTGTAGATATTAACACATTGTTTAATTGGCTTTTTTTTTTTTTTTTTTTTTTAATATTCTTTAGTATTTTCATAATTTGGGAAACAGTATAGCATTGAAACTTCTATACCTGAAAAATTGTGAGTACGCTTTTAATTAATTGTCTGTTTTTTATCTCACAATGTCTCGATAAGAAGTTATATAGAAAAAGTTAGTATTCAATATCATCTAGACAAAAAACAAAAACATGTTTAAATGAATATATTAAATAAATTATGAGTATTCTTTAACAGAGATATATTTATTTGTATTATGGAAATGTTTATGTCGACAAACTTATGTTCGATATTTGTATCAATTTGTAAAAATAACTCTTGTATAATGATAATATTAAATTTAAAGGTTTTAAATAAGGACTTGCAGATATCACAATTCGAATTTTTTTTTATTGGCCATAAAACTTTTTTTGGAATGAAAGCATTAGTTTCTGTTTTTCAGTTAAGCTCCATAAATTCATATTTTAATCTGAACGCTACTTAAGCACAGTAAAGTTGCAACAACTAAACAATATAGTGAACTTTTCGAAAATTTCTAAATGAAAATCAATTTATATTTAAAATTAAATAAGTTAACTAACATTTTTGACCATTATGAAGTTAATAAAGTTATAAATAACGTCGTTACAAAGATTTATGTTTGAATTTTAAATTTCTATTGATAATAGTTACTCATCTGCGTATTACAATAACAATACCTACATGACTTGGCTTTGACACAAAACCCTGTATAGTAAAACTTCTAATCCGAATCAAAATCTTGAAACTATTATTTGGGG